GCACCCCCATTTATGCATGTTAAGGTGAGTGCAGCCAACCCCCTCTTGTTTTATATATATATATATATATATTGACCAATAATATGTAAGGGGCTATGTCTTGCCACCCCAGATCATTGAGTAATATATAAATACATATATATTACAAATACATATATTATATATATATATATATATATATATATATATCATCTGGGGTGGCAAGACAGATAATATATGTATTTATATATGACTCAATCATATATTATCTGTCTTGCCACCCCAGATGAGATATATATATATATATATATATATATATATAAAATATATGTATTTGTAAAATATATGTATTTATATATGACTCAATCATCTGGGGTGGCAAGACATAGCCGTATGTATTACATGTGACAATACGTGGCTCAATGACTTATGGGGCTGGCATAGATATTTTTTTTCCAGGGCTGCTTTGTATCCCCAGTCCGGCCCTGGGTTTGGCGATCGACTGGACATGAGGGGTGAAGGAGAGGTCAAAGAGAATACCTAGGCAGTGAGCCTGCGAGGTAGAGGTGATGGTGGCGCCGCTAACTAGGAAGGAGACAGACACGGGAGTAGCAACACTTGAGGGAGGAAAGACCAGAAGTTCTGTTTTGGACAGGTTGAGTTTAAGGAAGTGAGCAGCCATCCAATTGGAAATCACGGAGAGGCAGTCAGAGACACAAGTCAAGATGTGCGGAGAGAGATCAGGGGAGGACAGGTAGATTTGCGTGTCATCTGCATATAAATGATAATGGAAGCCAAAGGAGCTGATGAGTTTACCAAGGGAGGCAGTATAGATGGAGATCAGTAGGGGACCAAGGACTGATCCTTGGGGGACACCAACAGAGAGGGGTTGGGGAGAAGAGGCAGAGCAAGATAAAGAAACACTGAAATCTATGTTTCTCACACAGTAATACTTAACTACAGGCTTAATCTTCCTTGAAGTGTTGTAGAGCCTCAGAAATTAAATGATACAAGGTAAATAATAATGCAGACAATCTGGAAAACGAAAATATACTTTCTACAACAATAAACAGAGCTTAAGCATTGGCTCTAATTCTGCAGCTTTGGAGTCTCCAATAGGGACTCCTTCCCTTTCACGGACCTCCTCTTCCTTATATGGTGGCACCGTGGCAGTATATGCAAGTGAGAGGGAAATTGGTGTAGTATATCCAAGCAGGCAGATATTAAAAGGTAGTAACTTAATTACATGAGAGTGAGCACACTTATCAAGTGTCAGCCAAAGAGCTGGCCCTGACCTGCACTGAAATGCCTAGCCCATGGGAGGTAACACTCTGTGCATGACCATGCTGTATCAAGCAGAAAGCAGACCTCGGGTAAGTAGTCAAATTTAAATACACCTATCTTCTGACATTATTTCACTGTCCATTAGTTTAGGAGATTTGAATTTGATACATTAAAAAAGAAACTCGTGCTGTTTCTGAAAAATGACACTGTTTTCAAGTGTAAGGATGCAGATGTAGCATCTATATGCTAAAAGCTAAACTGTTAATGTAATGTCAGAACATGACTGAATGGGAATACTGGTAAAGCAAGGCAATTTTGGCATGTTTCTATTTATGTCCATTCTTTTCAAGTTCAAGGTTCAAATTATGTTTTTTTTCTTAACCATTACAGATAATCCTTGATTTACTGGTATTTTAAAAGCTTAGCACACCTCTTCTCTATAATAATGTACAATATGTGTGTTGATATGATTTTTGAAGTGTCATTTAATGTTATTATTTATTCAGTGTTGCAGGTCTTTAACACATGGCGTGTTCAACGAAATTAAATTGTGTGAAAGGGTCTGAGCACGATCATTGAAACAACAGAAGATATACTTTTGAAATTACAGCAAGATTCTTGAGAGCATTCAGAAAAAGAGGGCAACTGGAATGTTTCACATCCAGAATTTTACATGAACATTCATGAGCGGTCATTAAAAACACAAATGTGGACCACTATAGCATGTCTTGACACATCACCACACATTTATAGGGTAGCATTGGGAATTATACCCTACCATCAAACAGCCAACTTATATGCATGAATCTAGAATTTAGTTGAAAATTGATAATAGAGAAAAGATTAACTGTAAGTATCTGTCACAATCTCTTTCTACAATCTACACACAGGAGTAGACATCAGCTGTATCCGTAGTAAGCATTGATAAACCAAACAATGCATAGACCTTGGTGTTTGCTTGTTTGTTTTTTGTTTTTTTTAACGTTTCCATGCCATCTTTTTCTTTTCAAATAGAAGGGTAGGAAATTAGGGTCCCTCTGGAAGTGATAAATACAAGGCATACAAATGGCAAGTTTACATTTACTTTTGGAGAAACACGTGCGCCCTTTCAATAATTATTAATCGAATACAATAGTATTTTAAAAAAATAAATAAATCTTGATGTGCTGGAAGCCCCTGTGTTCTGGATTGTGAAGGGGCTTGGAGACCAGCCTCATGCCCTGAGACTATGGAACAGAGACCCCTAACAAACCAAAAATAGGCAATGGGAGTATGGGAAGGTGGCATGGAGACCTCCTAGATGTTAATTGTGCCTCCCATCTGGGGATCATTTGGACCCATGTTGCACATCGACCACGTGACCTTGAGACACCCTGAAATGCTCGAGTACTGTACACCAGATTAGGAGGATGTTGCAATTTTGTGAAACTTTGATCGGCTATTACTCGGTCCCCTGACCACCAATTGCTATTTGGAGAGGATGTTAGGGAGGCAATTAGGCATTAGAGAATACCAAGGACTTGAGAGCACTCCTCTCCCACGAGCCCCAGGGACCCCTTTTGGGAGATCACGACTACAGGACTAACCAGACACACAACTTTTCAGATCGGAAGATAGTTGCGACTCTATAAAACACTGAAAACCTATATCCAGTTTCAGCAACTGGTTCTGAAGCACTTCAGAGTCTCCTGGCAGCATTGAGGAAGCCAACCTAATGTATGTATGTAGCCGGAGTACAGGAGCTTACGCAGGAGGTACGGAGCCCCACCACTGAGCTTATCAGGATGATGACCATTTTGTCCGGTCTTGTTTTTCTCATAGTAAAGAATTGTGAACGTAAAGCACATGCGCAGAAATCGTCGCAATGCTCCAATCAAATGCATCTCATAGAGCCTAATGCTTCTCTATGAAATACATTGAATGAACATTCAACGCCCTAATGCAGTTCTCATTGATAAAGCACCATCTAGTGGCTGTCAGTGCAAAGCCATAAGCGGTATTTCTAGTCCTATAATGTAAACATTGATATATTTTATAAATAAGTGTCTGTAGTGTCTCTTATAACAATTAATTTTGTAGGTAAAACCTTGAATGTTTAGTGTCTCCTACAGCTTCAATTCCCAACCTTAAAACTGACTGCAGTAGGCATTTTCAAAACTATGGCATTTTTACTTCCATTGCCAACAGAAGTTAATACAAGCACTTACAGTTATATAGTGCAATGAAGTTAATACAAGCACTTACAGTTATATAGTGCAATGAAGTTAATACAAGCACTTACAGTTATATAGTGAAATGCTCAAGAGCTCCCGTAGGAATTGTGATGCCACAAATAATAAGTATGCAAGTATATTATGTTAAATGCATTGGATGCACATGCATGATGCATGTGCTAGCAAACAAGCCATTTGTTCATTTTGCATTTATTTGGAAGAACAATGATTGGCTACAATTGTTCAGCCAGATCTCTGCTGCTGCTAAAATGAACTTCATCTTGCCAGATTATCTTTTCTTTTTTGGGGAGGGGGTAGTGGGGGGAAGGGGGGTAGTGGGGGGGAGGGGGTTGATTTTCCTAATGCCTTATTTACATAACATATTAAAAAAAAACGTAATTTACTGCAATCTGAAGTGTCCATTTAATGCAACATTTATTTTCTCCTAGTTGATTTATGCATTGTAAATTGGTAAAAATGTTCCTTTAGCATTCTACAGACTGCAGCTCAAAGGTCAAGTAACGTGGGACTTTAACACATCGTCTAACATATGTATTCAGCATCTGTAATAAAAAATACATGAGCATATGCATCTGCAGAAAGTCAGGAGATTGAAAGTATTAGTAGGTCAACAAGCTAACTAAGAAATCCAGGTTGAATCTCCTGGCATATGTTGAGCAAGATGCCTAATGAAATGGGTTTAGAAAGAAGAAATTGTGTTTAACAACAGAATTGCTTACTATGTTTAACCCCTTAAGGACTGAGCCAGTTGTACATGTGATCAAAACAAAATGTAAACAAAAACTGCAATTCACCTCTTTCATATTAAGTGCACCCACACTTGTATATCATTTTGTTCAGGAGAAACAGGACTTTCATTTCACATGAACTATTCAAATATGAAACATAGTTTTATAACATGACAGGAGGCTTCATATTTGCTTAAGTCTCTCTTTACTAGAACTCCACAGCAGCACATTAACATAGAGAGAAAAACAACCAATCAGAAAAAAGTAAAGCAACCATAAAAGGCCCCTCCCCACCAACTATTTCCTCTTTCTTTGCTGCTCCGCATCAGTACAGGTCAGAGTACCACTGCCTCCTGCTCCTATGGTGGCTCTGGGTCTTTTTATGTGTATTCCTTTATTTGCTTATATTTTATTGCCTAGATTTATTACTAATATTTTATTGCTTTGTTTGCATATTTTATTGCTATATTTATTGCATATATTTTCTTGCTGATATTTAGTGCATATATTTTACTTATCATATTGGATTAGGTTGATGGGTGTGGGGTTTGTTTGGGTTTATTGCCCATGGGAGTGTTTTGGCTGGCTGGTTCTGGTCCCCCTCCTGGGACAGTTTCAGTGTCCTTGTTGTCTACCCTTGTGTATTAAGCAGTGGATATGAATATGGGTAAGGTAGCAGTGTGTAAATGTGGGGGTGTATTTGTGTATTTGTTTTCGTTAATGTTTTGGGCGGTCGCCGGGGAATGGTTCTGTGAACTGATCCCCGCTGTCTGACCGCCGGGGCCGCGGAGTACGACTCCGGCAGCCCCACATGAACGCTCCCGCCAGCACTGTCGCAAGGTGACGAGCGGCGACGAGCAGCACTGTTTCCGTCCTTCCCTCTCCCTCCCACGCTCCCGACCGCAGTCTCGTTCTTCTTCTTGCAGCTTGCGGGCGGCGTGAAGGAGGGCAAGCCGGTCACATGGGAGCGTCTGCTCCCGGCCTCTTCCATGCCCCCTCTGGCTTCTTTGTGTAAGCCGGTGTTCTATCAAATTTCCCTACCCGTGAAAATCCCCTACCCCGTCACTTCCTGTGAGGGGAATCAGCTGGCTCCTGTGCTGCACATGCGTGCTAGCACTCCTGCTACTCCTCCACAGCAAGGTCCTGGAAGGTAAGTAAAACTAGTTTTACACTTTCATTATAGTTAGTGCATTCACTAAGCTTAGGACATGGGACATTTAGAGTTAATGTTAGGGTTCAAATTAGGGTTAGGATTAGGGACTTGTTGATATTTAGTGATATTTAACATTAGGGGAATATCACTAAATTGTGCTTTTTCACACTTTATTTTAACCCTTACCCCAAAGGTTAGGGTAAGAATAGAGTGTGAGAGAGGTTAGAATCACTTACCTAACTCTAATTGGAACCCTCACTTAACCCTAAATGTCCCGTGTGCCTAAGCTTAGTGAATGCACTTACTATAATGAAAGTGTAAAACTAGTTTTACTTACCTTCCAGGACCTTGCTGTGGAGGAGTAGCAGGAGTGCTAGCACGCATGTGCAGCACAGGATTCAGCTGATTCCCCTCCCCGGAAGTGACGACGGTAGGGGATTTTCACGAGGTAGGGGAATTTGATAGAACCCCGGGGGGACCTTTGTATGTGCAGCATCACCCACTGATTTAACATACCTGTTTTGTGGATGTAAAGGATTACGCCAGTTGTTTGAATCTCTTCATGTTGAGCTGGGATCAATACACAAACTGATGAGTGATGGTCTGCTTCTATTTTATGTGTATTTTGGTCTTGTTGGAATTTTGCTCTCACTGCAGGGGGATTCTTCCCCTTTAATTGGGTTAGATTCATTAAGGTTTCCTGGTCTACTTCCAGTATAGGGTGCATGGATGCAGCCTGTCTCAGAGTTCAGGGTTCATGCCTATGTTAGTATTTTTTGTGGGTCACTTCCTCACTTCTGCCTTGAGATCTAATTTACGTTTTATGTATTCTATGTATGCACAGCGCTCTGTCCGCTGCTATAGGTGTATATTACCTATATATTTACACAGATGCCTATGGCCTTCGAGTGGTTTAGATACCCGGTTGCTTGGTATTTTATTTTATCCTTTTGGTCTATTAACTAAACAGCGAGTTGGTATATTGCTTGCTGTATCTTGTTTTTGGTCCTGGATGGCTACCCTTGACGGTGGGCGTCTGTGATACTGGGACGCGGCAATTTAAATACCTGTGTATAAGCTTTATATTGCTGGTTTTGATGCATAACCGCCTACGGCTGTTATCACTACAGGGGGTCCTGGTTTTCTCTACTGTGTCGCTGCCCCTTTAGGGGAACACAGGTTATTATGACGCCTGGTTGGTCTTACAGCCTCACACACCACCCACCTTTTTGGCTAGGGTACCTATAGGCAGAGGAGCCCACTAAAGGGGTGCACAACCCACGTCAGGTTCGGCCTTCACTGGCCTGCCAGGCCAGACCGCGATGGGGTCCTGCAATTACTGTGGATCATATGCCTTTTCACTTACTGCGTGCCTACAGGTCTACACTCAAGCACTGCTGCCTACACACCCAGACTAGCCAGCTTTTACTGTGCCGCTCTGATTGGCCAGCTTTTACTGTGCCGCTCTGATTGGCCTGCTTTGACTGTGCCTCACTGATTGGCCTGCTTTGACTGTGCCTTAAGGATTGGCCTGCTATGACTGTGCCACACTGATTGGCCTGCTATGACTGTGCCGCACTGATTGGCCTGCTTTGCCTGTGCCACACTGATTGGCCTGCTTTGTCTGTGCCATTATCACTGAACGCCAAGCCTACCCACTACATGCCCACGCTTGTACCTGGCATGCATTGCCTGCCTTACCTCTGCCTCTATTTCGGGGTGCTGCCCCGTTTATTCTGAGGGTGACACTCCTCCTCTAGACTCCGGGATGTCTCGTTGCCTGGGGTTACCACAGACGGAACCTCTACCTAGGAACACTATTGACAGACGAGGACTCGTGCGGCGGAAGCCGCCCCCAAGGGCAAAGGCTTTGGCCCAGTTTCCCCTCAGACCCTTCTAGAGACGAGACCAGGCAAGTGCACGGAAGCACTACTGGTAGGGTAAAGGCCCTGAACCACAACCCCGGAAGGGTAAGGCCCTGGCAAAGCACCTGGGCCCGATGCTTTGACTCTCCTAGTCGAGAGCAGACAAGTGCGCGGAAGCACTACTGTTAGGGTGAAGGCCCTGAACCACAACCCCTGAAAGGTAAGCCTCTGGCAAGACACCTGGGCCCGAGGTTGCTGGCCAGGCTCAGCCGCCCAGATGGCGCAGGGAAGGAGGTCTCTGTACCCTTCCCATCCATGGCAGCCCTAGCTGAATGGTGGGCAGACCAGTTTCCCCTCAGAGGGAGGGGACGATTGGAGCAAGGACTATGACGTCAACACCCTAGTGGCAGGGTGAGACAGGGGAGGCATCGACGCAAGGGGTGATGACAAACGTAGTAGACAAGGACGCCTGCCTGGATGCCCCCGACGATCCCTGGTTCAACCCTTGGTAGATTCGACATCTAGGTCTTCGGAATGGCCTCTACCCGAACACCCTGTGCGATTCAGACGCTGCAGGATCCGCAGACTGCTGGAGTGAAAAATCGGCAGGAAGAGTCAGGCGGAATACCCAGGCCGGGCTCCCGGACAAGGTAGGCATACCCTGGAGTTCAGAACCTGGTCGCCACATATAGGACGTGCACAGGACAAGACCCTAAGACAAGGGTCGAGCGCACCCTCCGTCTGGCGCAGGAAAGACTGCTGGTCATGCTGGGTCCTCTATCGAGGAAGCCCCCCTAGATCTGTTTGCCTTACGGGACTGGACCCGACGCCCCTCTGCCTGCTGTCACTCCCTGCGTGAAACACACATGGATATTAGGCCTGGAGCAATGGCCCCACAGGCTAGCATCCTTGCTTCAGGGACCCGTTCTAAAGGAGCTCATGGGCAGTCCCAGTTTTTCCGTGAGGAGGATCTTTCGCCATGAATCTGTCCATTCTTCAGATTGAGGATTTTGTCAGGGAGTTCTCCATCCGGTATTCTACCCGAGAATCTTAACCATCGTCGCTGGACACCATCATCTACGGGACCTGTTCTGGCCGCGTGATTGGCTCACTGGACTGGATTTGTTGTATACTTGTCCCGGTGGACAACGAGGGCCGAAGACTTCGACGATTTTTCCCCCAACTGGCCTTGTCAATTCTCCGGTCATTATATCTGCCTACGCAGGATGTGTCTCCTCTCTGCAGCTATCCGGGCGATCTAACCGGGCCCACCCCATCACAGGGTCCATGGTCGGTGTTGGAGTCGAAGTTCCCATACACTACCTGGAACTGCTTGCGGGATCGTTCACGACCCAGGGTCTAAGGGTCATTTTCCCGATTGCTTCCTCCTCCTCCAGATGGAGGCTTCAATTGCCTGGGAGGTATCTGATCCCGGATTCCCTTGGAGAGTACAAAGAAGATATACGGTTCCGGTTTCCTATGCAACGTTTATTCCGGACAGAGTTTCTGTCGGGAGTTGGACCTGACGACGAATTGGTTCTCCAGACATCGGCGATTGAAGGATCGGAGAGACATCGGCGATTGAAGGATCTCTTGTCCCGCCCTCCTCAAGACCACAGATCGGCGGAATCCGTCCACGGTGGATTCCCCCTTTTTTTTTCGCCTCACGGATGAACTACTAGGAACCGATCTGCTTCGGCAGACTCATATGTCAGGTTTTGTTCAGCGATGGATGCTCTCCTCCGTGTGCATTCGGCATGGGGTGTTGATGCGTCACCGCCGATTGGTGGCATTGACTCGGGGGAGCGTGGAGTCTTGAGCCGTTATTGCGATCGGCCTGGGCTCCTAGGATTAGGTGATGCCATTTGTCGGCATGGTGACCTGGGTGTAGTGGGGCCCAGAGCAGGATCCAGATTGCTTTCGGGCCCTGTAGTCTGAGTTCTGGACCTTCGGTCACTCCAATTTGGCCTAGGACGCTGGTATCATTTGACTTCTATAGCTAGATCGACAGCCCACGTACTGATTAGAGGTTTTCTCTTTGGTCTGGACTCGCGGTTTGGCGGATGTCTCCGAGGTAGGTGATTGTCACGACCTCCGGGGCCTAGGTGTTTTTTCTGTAGGACATAGGCACGGTTTGTCGTTTCCTCCAGGATGGGCCTGATACCCAGGACTTTTCCTTTGTCGACGTTGTTTTGTCATATTACTATGTTTTTATTTCTTTCAGGAATGTTTCGGGCGTCCGGGCATTAGATTGTGACGCCTCTTTTTTTCCTCGGAAGGCGTCACCTTCAGGAGGTCTATACATACTAGCTGGATTTTACAGATATATTCTACTCGAGTTTCCACGACCTTCCTGGACTCTGCAGGGCAACAACGCTGTCTTGAAGGTGGCGACCTTTTCCCTTTTTTCCTTTCTCCTTCTGGTCAGTTGTTGATTTTTTATGTCAGAGCTATCCTATATCGTTTCCTTCCTCGGCTCATCTCGACAAAGCATCATGCATTTACTTCTGTTTCTGAGGAGGTACCTTTTGACTATTTTAGGTGAGATCGGTGGATCGTGTTTCTTTCGCTTTTCTTTCGCAGCAAATATGAAGCCTCCTGTCATGTTATAAAATTGTAGATTATACTAGCTTTAGTGTATCTGTTAGTCCAATAAAAAAGGTATTACAAGATACAAATTTTATCTGTTTTTTACATATATATATATATATATATATGCACACATATATAATTATATATTTTTTTGTTAACAATTTTTTTTTTTTTTTTTTTACAGATGCAGGGGGACTACCTGTTGGTTCAGGCAGATACTTGGACACCTATTGCGGCCATGTGACCACTATGTTAGAGCAAACACATGGCCATGTGGGCCAAATTCGCCGATGGGGTACTGTCTGGGCTGTCAGGCAGTCCCCCCAGACCAGGAGCAATGCCGATCACTGGCTGGGGAACCTCAGTGATCGGATAAGTAAA